CTCCCCCTCCCTCTGCGCCCCAGGGCTGCCGCGCTGATAAAAATGGCGAAATGGGGGTAGCCGGCGCCGAACCTGAAGCGATGGGGCGCGCTGGTGGGGCGGTTGTTGGAGCGCCCTGACGTGGGCGCCGGGCTGCTCTTGGCAATTTGACCTGGCGACCTCGGGCCGGCGCCCAGTAGGTCAGATCACGGATTTCACGGGTTGCCGAGGGGCCCGCCGAGAGCCAGAGGCAATGGATGAGCAGAGCGTGGAGGTAAGCGGAGCTGTGGAGGGCGGCGGTGGTTAGTTCTCTCCCCGCCACCCGTGGAGCGTCTTTTCGGGCGCCGTGCCCTCGTCCTCCCTCCCGTAGGGCGCCCCACCCCGCCGCTGCGGAGAGCTGGCCCGGTGTGAAGAACGCCGTGCTGGCTCCGCAGCCCTCTGGGTGCCTGGTGCTCAGCCTGCGCCGCAGTCAGGTGCGTATCCAGGCGTTTTCAAAGACGTCTTGGTGCGGTACTCATCCCCACCTGGTTATTTGCAGACTAGCCTGTGGTAGAGCGAAACTGCAAATTCATTAGCTGGACATGCTTCCGTGCGACTCGCCACCAGGGCTTGCGAGTTCGTGAGCGGATCCAGATCTCCCTCCGAATGGATAATCCTGTTTTCCTGTAAGCGGTACATGTTGCGAGCTTCTCTCCCTAGAGTGTATGAGGATATAGCGTAGTACTATCATCTCCTTTGATTATGGTTTCCAGAACATACCTGGCTCTCGTGAGCTGTGATTTCAAATGGTTGCAATATTGATGTAAAGACTAGGGACACAGAAACTATGTTTATTGGACATAATGATGTAGTCATTGTTAAATTTTTACTCCTGCAAATTTACGCGATTCTAAGTTCTTGCTTCTAAGTAAGGAGTAACCGTGTTACTGGGCACTGCACTTGAAACTAGTTCACTCTACTCCGCACCTCGGTACAGCGTCCGCATCTCACATGTTCTTTCTGACCCTGCAGTCCTGATTTGATTCATAAGTAATTTTCTCCTTAAGTCCTCATTTGAAAGTATTATAAAGGTTTTGTAAACTTATCTTTGTATTCGGACGGTTTAATTCTTCCGGAATAGAGTAAAAACAAATGTCAGTACTGTGAAAGTAAACTTGGAATAGACGATAGCAAGCACTTGTAGTTGTATGTGTTTTCTTGTTATAACTTGCCAGTTTCAAAGTTGATTCATCTGAGGCTTGCAAAGATATTACTGTTCCTATTATTTACATAATTCTTGTTTTTTCTTTCCAAGGCCTCATAGAACTCCCATCAAAATTTTCAAAGGCTGCAGAAGCTTAGGCTCATATAAGTAGCTAATTAGTTGCAGCATCAGGGCAGAAATTCAGACTTATGGATTCTGAGCTATTATCTCTCTGGATCAAAGTACACTGCCATTAGATTAAGATTTTTTCTTTTTTAACTTCTTGTTTTCATTTTAAGTATAAAAGCAATTTATCCCCTTTGGAGAAATTGCAGAAAAAAGTTTAAAAGTTCCTATTGTGCATTTAGTCATATCTCTGCCTTTTTTTTCTTACTGTTACACATTATAAGTTTTTTTTTTTTTTTAATGTAGTGCTTGGGGGACCAGCAGTCAGCATAATGGATATGTCGCTGGACTCCCATGTAGTCGCCCGCGGTTCGTGACCCGGACCCGGTGGCTTAAAACTCATGCCGGGCGCGTGTGCATGCGTGCCCAAGATCCCGAGAGGAGAATGGAGGAGAAGGGATTGCAGTGTGGCCATCCCCCCTGGGGGGTGATTTCTCGCTTTCTGTCTCTCTGTCTGTCTGGCGAGCACACGGGCCCTATAGTAAAAACCTCTCCCCCCCTAAAAAAATGTGCTGTAGTTAAGTTTTTTTTTTCAAATTATTTAACTTTATTAATTTAAAAAATTTGACCAGAGAGGGACAGAGAGAGAAAGAGAGAGGGGGGAAGGGGAGGTGAGAGGAGAGAGAGAGAGGAAGTGAGAAATCAAGCCACCAGGTCCAGGACTTGAACTGCTGTTTTAGTCATGTGGGAATCCAGTGCCCTTAACCACCATGCCACCTGCTGGCCCCATAGTATTTTTTTTTTTTTTTTTTTGGTATCATTAAGTCAAAAAAAGATTTTTTGTTTTTTTTAGAGGTTTTTGCTATAGGGTGCTCGCGCTCGCCAGATAGAGGCAGAGAGACTGAAATTGAGAAATCACCCCCTAGGGGGGATGGCCATGCCACAATCCCTTCTCCTCCAGATTCCTATCGGGATCTTGGGCACGCATGCACACGCACCCGGCGTGAGTTTTAAGCCACTGGGTCTGGGACGTGAACCGCAGTTGATTACGTGGGAGTCCAGTGACATAGCCATTACGCTAACTGGTCCCCCAAAAAAGATTTTTTTTGGAGACGTTTTTCCCTAGGGCATGTGTGCTTGCTAGAGAGAGAGAGAGACAGAGACAGAGCGAAAATGAGAAATCACTCCCCAGGGGCTGAAATGCTCTAATCCTTTTTCCTTTATTCTCCTTTTGGGATCTTGGGCATGCATGCACACACGCCCACCCATGTGGGAGTCCAGCAACATAACTGCTATGTCATCTGCTGACACCAAGTCAAGAAATATTTCTGGTGACTATCATAATCTGTGTGTAATGGCCATAATTAATATTTGGTCTGTAGCCAGATTATTGTCATTATAATTAACACTTTAGTGAAGATATTAGTGCATAAATTTTTGTCTGCATTTCATATCTTTTCCTTAGGATGGAATCATTGTGAAAAAGAATGAAAAAGAAAAGGGAAAAAAAAAGCACATTTTTCTAGGTGATTTTCTGAGGTTCCCTGGGTCTTGACTAAGTCCCAGTATGGGACATATTTATTTACTTTTTTCTCTTTTTTTGGAGAGATTTTTGCCATAGGGTGTGTGCGCTCGCTAGAAAGACAGAGAGACAGAGAGACAGAAAGCGAGAAATCACCCCCCAGGGGGGATGGCCACGTCGCAATCCCTTCTTCTCCATTCTCCTCTCGGATCTTGGGCACGCATGCTGGCATGAGTTTAAGCCACCGGGTCTGGGACTCAAACTGCTGTGAACTACATGGGAGTCCAACGACATAGCCATTACTCCAACAGCTGGTCCCTATTTACTTTTTTTTAATTAAAGAATTATTTTATTTAACTTTATTTATTTATTTTAATTTGACCAGAGAGGGACAAAGTGGGGGGTGGGGGAGTGAGAAAGCAAGCCACTAGGTCCAGAACTTGAACTGCAGTGGGAGGTTCCATATGGTAATCCAGTACCTTTAACCACTAGACCACCTATCACCTGGTATGGGACATATTTAAACAGATGTTATGAACCCTGAATAAATGTAAATGTTGAGCGAATTATTTTTAGCATGCTATATTTTAAAATATTTACTAATTTTATTTGTTATTATTATTTAATATGACCAGAGAGAGACAGAGAAAAGAAGGTGAGAGAGCAAGCCACCAGGTCCAGGACTTAAACCACAGTCAGCCATGTGGGAGTCCAGTGCTCCAACCACCGTGCCACCTGCTGGCCCCTTAGCATGCTATTTACTCATTTTTTATTTTTGTAAGGGGGGGGGTTAAGATTTATTTCTTTAATTTGGACCCAGCAAATGGTGTAATGGTGGCATTGCTGGACTCCCGGGTAATCAACCTCAGTTCAAGTCCCCGATGCAGTGACACAGCAGACACATTTTCTAAGGTTCCCTGGGTATTGACTAAGTCCCAGTATGAGAGAACCGAGGAGATGGTGAGGAATGATTTCTCGCTTTCTGTCTCTCTGGCAAGTTCACGTGCCCTGTAGCAAAAATCTCACACACACAAAAAGTTATTTAATTTTGTTATTTATTTATTTAGAGGGAGATTTTTGCTATAGGGCGCATGTGCTCACTGGAAAGACAGACAGAAAGCGAGAAATCACCCTCTTGGGAGGATGACCACACCACGGTTTCTTCTCCTGTATTCTCCTCTTTGGGATTTTGGGTATACACGCACATGCCTGGTGTGAGTTTCAAGCTGCCAGGTGTGTGACTTGAACAATGGTTGACTACATGAAGTCCAGTGCCTTAACCATTATGCCATCTGCTGGCCATGTTATTATTTATTTTTGAATTTGACCAGAGAGACAGAACGGGAAAATGTAAAAACTAGCTTCCAGTCCTGTACTCAAACTGCGGGGGGTCATGTGGCAGTCCAGCACCTTAATCACCTCACCACCTGCTAGCTCTGCTGTTTACTCTTGATTCAGTAGCCTAATCTGGTGAACTATATGTCTTTTATTATTTTCAGAGCATTGCTGAGGTATTCCGATGTTTCATTTGTATGGAGAAGTTGAGAGATGCACGGCTGTGTCCTCATTGCTCCAAGCTTTGTTGTTTCAGCTGTATTAGGGTAAGTTGTATTTCTTTTGACATGCATCTAATGTATTTAGAGTACATTATAAGGATTAATTATTTCTCTTTTTAAAAATAATTACTTAATTTTATTCATTCATTTAATTTTTAAAATTTTTAAACATTATTTACTTATTTATTTTATTTGGTTAGAGAGGGGTAGAGAGAGAGGAAGAGAAAGCAAGCCCCCAGATCTGGGACTCAAACCATGGTTGGCCATGTGGGAGTCCAACGCCCTTAACTACCACACTATCTTCCAGCCCCTATTCATTTTATTTTAATTTGACCAGAGAGAGACACACAGGGGACAGGGGGGAGTGAGAAAGCAGGCCACGAGGTCCAGGATTGGAACTGTGGTCGGCCATGTGTGTCTAGCACCTCAACCACCACACCACCTTCTGGCCCCTCTAATCTTTTTTTTATTTTACATTCTGTGCCTATTTAAAAAATGTGTTATAAAGAAGTGTTCTTTAATAGAGAGACCACCAATTTCTATTGCTTAGTTCTGTGGGATGAATAAACATGTGTTAACTCCCATGAAGTGTCTGAAGGTAGCTAGGTGCCTTTGAAAACAAAGCCCATTGTGATTTTAATATATTTACATTATTAAATTTACTGCACATTTACCATACACTTTTAAAGTACTTGTCTGTATTGTGCTTGGTGTTGAGGGATGCCAAAGTAAGTGACAAAGCCCCTGCCTTGATGGAATGTAAATCTAATTGAGGGAATGGGCTCTCATGCTTGTATTGAGGAATATGTAGTATCATAAAGAGGCACTCAACAGAGTGCTGTGTGGCTGAGAAGAGTGAGAGTTTATACATGTTTGAGTCAGAGGGAAAAAAGCTGACAAAGAATAAAATCATGTCAACTTTTTTTTTTTTTTTAATTGCCAGAGGTTATGTATATTTACCAGAGAGAGACAGAGAAACAGAGAAGAAGAAAAAGTAGCTCCCCCAATGGGATGTGGTCCTGTTTCAATCCCTTCTCTATTTCTCCATCCAGGATTTGGGGTGTTTAAGCGTGCACACTCTCAGTATGTTTTTGTTTGTTTAATTTGCTAGAGTGTGTGTTCACTTACTGGACAGAATCAGAAAGTGAGAAAGACACACTTTCCTCCCCCCAGCCCGTGAGGGAAAGTTACACCGCAATCCCTTCTCCCCCATTTCTCCTTTAGGGATTTTGGGCATGCTCACACAGGTACCTGGCACGTTTCTCAGCCATCACGTTTAGGACTCAGACCACATAGTCGGCTGTGTGGGATTCAGCCACCTTAACCACCACACTATCAGCTGACCCCTGACATGTTTTTTAAGCCAACTCGTTTGACCTTATGGAATCCAGCTCCCTTAACCACTAGGTTACGGGTCTGGCCCTAGAAAAAATCATATAAACTTAAATTATAAGAAACCTTAAAGATGAATTTATCTAGTGGCTTTAAAATTTGAATGTAGGGGCTGGCGGGAGGCGTGGTGGTTAAAGGCACTGGACTCCCACATGGCTGACTGTAGTTCAGGTCCTGGACCGTGACTTGCTTTCTCACTTCCCCCACTTCACACACTCTCTCTGTCTCTCTCTAATCAAACTTGAAAATAATAATAATAAATAAAGTTAAATTTTTAAAATAATTCTATAAAAAATAAAGTAAAATAAAATTTGAATGTAATTGAACCCCTCAAACGAAATTATGAGGGAGCCTAGATATAAAAAGAAGAATTTATTTTCATTGTGTAAGTGAATAGCACATTTGTAGAGCACAGGTGAAAATGCCCTAATCACATTACTTTAATTATTTCTTTTACTGAGGAAATCAGAGCCACCCAACATGCTTTTCATCTCAAAATTTCTTTCTTTGTAGGGACCAGCAGATGGCATGGTAGTTGAGAGCACTGGACTCCCACATGATCGACCACGATCTGACAACTTGCTTTCTCACTTTTCCTTTCTCTCTGGTTAAATTTAAAAATATTAATAATAATAACAAATAAAGTTAAACTTTGTTTATTGATTTATTTTTAATTTGATCTGAGAGGGACAAAGCGACAGCACCTCAACCACCTTCGTCACCTGCTAGCCCCCTTAGCTTCGTTTTCTAAGCTATAGAATTTATCTAAAAATGTTTGCCTCACAGGGTGGTTATGACATTAAATGAGATATGCTAAAAGTAATTCAGAAATTATAAAGTACTATCCACTTGTAAGGTGTTAATTTTTTGAGTGGTTAAAATAGTGACATAAATGTAATATAATAAGTGGTGAAACCAAAGCTAGAGAGATGAAGTAATTGGCTTCTATCATTTTAGTTAATAAAGTGATAGCATTTGGATTTGGAATTTTTTTTTTTAATGAGAGAGAAAGAAGTATTTTTTTAAGAATTATTTTAGCTATTCTTCTTATTATTTTAATTTGACCAGATTGACCAGAGAAAGTGAGAAAGCAAGCTACCAGGCCTAGGACTTGAACCATGGTCAGCTATGTGGGAGTCTAGTGCCCCTGACCACCACACCACCTGCTGGCCCCACTTGTTTTATTTTTTAGAAAGAGAAAGTTTTGCTATAGGCATGTGGACTTGCTGCAGGGACAGAAAGTGAGAAATCATCCCCCTATGGGGGGATAGCCATGCCTCAATCCTGTCTCCTCCATTCTCCTTTTAGGATTTGGCCATGCACATACACGCTCCCGCGGTGAGTTTCAAGCCTCTGGGTCGGGGACTTGAACTGTGTCGACTACATGAGAGTCTAGAGCCCTAACCACTCTGCCACCTGCTAGCCCCAAGATAGAAGTATTTTTGACAGTAATCTTGCAGCGTTGCTGTTCTCCTTCTCCCGGCTTCCCAATTAGCTAAGATCACAGCATGCATAGCTGTGCCTAAAGTGTTCAGATTTTCTGAGGAACTAAAAACCCAGGCCTCTGATGCAGCTTGCAGCCTCCCTAGTGGTGATGCTATTTTTGCACCACCAAGGCTGGGCCAAGGACTCCATTCTGTTGAATAAGGTCATGTATATACTGAGGACCTTTGATTATTACCTTATACTTCATTAGTTCTTTGTTAGTTCTGCCTCTCCTAACCCTTGCACGCACTTACTTTCTTATTACTTCTAGCATTCTTTTTATTTATTTATTCTTAATTTTTTTAGAATTATTTTATTTAAATGTATTCATTTATTATTTTAAAAAATAATTATTTAATACCATTTGTTATTTTTTTAATTTGACCAAGAGAGAGACAGAAAAAGCAGACCGCGGGAACCAGCAGTTAGCGTAATGGCTATGTCACTGGACTCCCACGTAGTCGACCGCGGTTTGCTTCCCGGACCCGGTGGCTTAAAACTCACGCCGGGCGTGTGTGCGTGCGTGCCCAGGATCCCAAGTGGAGAATGGAGGAGAAGGGATTATGGTGTGGCCATCCCCCTGGGGGGTGATTTCTCGCTTTCTGTCTCTATATCTCTCTCTGTCTGTCTGGCGAGCGCACGCACCCTATAGCAAAAATCTCCCCAAGAAAAAGCAGACCGCCAGGTCTAGGACTTGAACCGCTGTTGGCCATGTGGGAATCTAGTGCCTTTATTCAGCACGCCACTTGCCAGCACTATATTTATTTTTACTTTTGACTAGAGAGGAACAGAAAGAGAGAGAGAAAATTTGAAAGCAAGATGCCAAGTCTGAGACTTGAATCGTGGTCAGCCATGTGGGAGTCCAGCGCCTTTAACCACCACGCCACCTGACGGCCCCTCTTCTTAATTTTTAAGAGAGATTTTTGCTATAGGGTACGTGCACTCCTGGGACACAGAGACAAAGCGAGAAATGACCGCCTGGGAGGACGTCCACACTGCAATCCCTTCTCCAATCTCCTCTCCAGATTTTGGGCATGCACACAAATGCACTTGGCATGAGTTCTAAGCCGCTGGATCCAACTCGGTTGATTACGTGGGAGTCCAGCAATGTAACCACTATGTCATCTGCTGGCTCCACTTCCAGTATTCTTTACTGTAGAGTTTTTATGATTCCATAGACTTTGGGAAGTTTGATTTGCTTTTGCAGCTTTAGCTATCATCTGTGTGTCTATTTTTCAGCATGGCCTTTTTTTTTTTTTTTTTTAAAGAGAGTTTTTTGCTATAGGTTACATGTGCTTGCCAGAGAGACAGAGAGAAAGTGAGAAATCACCCCCAGGGGATGGCCATGCCACCGTCACTTCTCCTCCATTCTCCTTTCAGGATTTTGGGCATGCATGCACATGCACCCAGTGTGAGTTTTAAACTTTGACTCAAACCGCTGTTGGCCATGTGGGAGTCCAGCACTTGATGGCCCCAGCATTGCCTTTTTTTTTTCTTTTTTTTAAATGACAGAGGTTGTGTGTGTTTGCCAGAGAGAGAGAGAAGAAAAAAAAAAGAGAAGAACTTTCTAGTGGGATGTAATCACACAATAGTCCCCTGTTCTCTATTTCTCTGTCCTATCAATATTTTGGACACATATACTCCTGTGTGTTTTTCAAGCCTCTGGGGCTGGGAGTTACACATGGTACACACTGTGGGATCAGGTCCTTAACCACCAGGTCATGGGATAGACCCTGAGAATTTACTTTTTCTTGCTTTTTTTGGAGAGGCTTTCTATAGGGCATGTGCGCTTGCCAGAAAGAGAGAGAGAGAGAGAGAGAGAGAGAGAGAAAGCGAGAAATCACCCCCCGGGGGGATGGCCACACTGCCATCCCTTCTCCTCCATTCTCCTCTTGGGATCTTGGGCATGCATGCACACGTGCCTGGCTTGAGTTTAAGCTACCGGGTCCAGGACTTGAACCATAGTCGACTACATGGGAGTTAAGCAACATAGCCATTATGCTAACTGCTGGTCCCGAGCATTGACTTTTAAGTGCCCTATCTGGTTATTCTTCCAGCATCTTGGACTTTGTTCAAGATCAAGTTATTCATATTATTTTTTCAGTCTTTCTGACCTCTTTTTGTTCCATTCTGCCAGTCACTTAAACTGGAAACTTCCTACACCAAGG